AAATATATATAATCTAAATAAATTTGACTAATAAATTTGCTAATATAACACTACTCCCTCCTTGAAAAATTTTGCTCTGCAAAATTATAAAAGATTTATTGTAATACAAACGCGGTAATCATGATCCGTCGGCAAAGTTTACTAGTCCGTCAGTGGGTATTGAACCTACAACTGCTGGCAATAGTCGCACATCATTACCACTCTACTACATTTGGTAATATTGTAAAAATTGTTGATTGTTCTATTTTTAAACAATAAAATTACTATATATAGTCTAGTGATTTTTAAGGGCTTGAGTTTGTGTAAAATAAAGTGAAAAGAAAATTTTTTATTTTATTATTTTTTTTTATATACTAAATTTTAAAACTAAAAAGAAAGATAAAAATAAATAATAACAATAATAATAAAATAAAATTTAACTAATATTTATAATAGTATAAAGATGCCATTACGATATCAAACTATTCGAGCTCGCAGAAGAAATGGTCAAAATGCTCTTTATGAAGCAATCGATATGCTCTAAAGTGAGAATCGAAGGTAATTTAAATAATATAAATAATGATAATAAAATAATACAAATAATAAATAATAATATATAATAAAAATTGTAATTTTTAGATTGGCTCAAGAAATACAAGGTTAAGGAGAAGAGTTTTTGAGTTGGAAGGGTTGTTAGCAACAAGAGCCTTGCAGCTGGACGAGGCTTTATAAGCAAGGGTTCGAGAGTTGACATTGGAGGTTGAGAATCAGCAGTTGCATTTGGAAGAGAGAACTAAGAGCGTAATACCAATTATGCGCTTTTGGTTCGAGAAAGAAGTGTATTAAGGTCTCGAATAGCGAACCTGGAGGTGTTGTTACATATCACCTCTAATTAAAAATTTTAATAAAAATTTTATAATTTTTCTATTATTTTGTTATATTGTTCCTTGGTTAATTTTTCTATTGTTAATACTGTAATAAATTTTGCTTTATAAAGTTGGTTGACTCCAACTTTATAATAAATATTATAAATTCTTTTACTTGACTTCCATCTTTTGGCTAATTTGTCTTTTCCAAGTCCTCTCGTAAGTTTTTTTCTAATTTCGTTTAGAAACTTTTTATCGACTTTATTCTTATTTCTCAGTTCACCTAAATAATAATCAGCTTCGAGTTTTGCAATTTGAGCATTCTTTTGATTTCTGTACTGATTAATTTTAGTTATGATTTTGTTTAATACCTCAAAATCATTATTGCTTATAAATAATGAACTAAAAGCTTCATTATTCTTGGTCGAATGATTGAGATCTTTAATAATTTTGTCAACAGTTGACTCTTCTTTGTGATTTTCTTCATTAAGATTATTCAATAATTTGAAGTTATTTACTGCGTTGTCTTCTTGATAATAGGCTTCTATAAATGGGTTTGTAATATTGCTTTGTAGTAACTTGGTCCAAAAGTTTTCCATTTTAAGTTTTGTTTTTTTTTTTTTTTTTTTTTTTTTTTTATATTATTTATAGAATAAAAGTAATTGATATGAAAATAGGATGTAGTGTATTTTTATAATTTTTAAAGAGTACGAAATAGATTACTAATTGTTTGTGGCAGGAGTTTATATAATAATTATTTGTGGTACTGGAAGGCTGTGTAAGTCTCGATCAAAATATAGCTTCAATCAGTTACCGTGTACTGGATCTTTGACCTTTTTGTGATCTAAGGTTTTTAATTTATATGTTCCAAAAGGTAAGATATCATGAATGATATAAGGTCTAATAAATCATTCTTCTAATTTTGCAGAGAATACATTTTTCAGTTGAGATTTATAAACCAAAACTTTGTCACCAATTTTAGTTTGTCGATTTTAACTTTGTTGTCATACTTTTCTTTTTGAATATTTTGTGCTTCTTGAATATTTTGCAAGGCTTCGTCTTGTTGTTTTGACAAGATTATCCTCTATTTCAAATATTCTTTTTATTAAAGCATTTTGATATTTGTTATCATCATTATAATAGGTTTCTATTATAGTTTCTATAGGAAGCTTAGCTTCTCTTCCGTATAGTAGAGAGAATGGTGAGAATTTTATAGCTTCATATTTCATAGTTCGATAAGCTAATAATACTGAAGGAAGTATTTCATCCCATTCCTTGTATTTATAGCTTACTATTTTTGCTAGAGCTTCACCAATTGTTTGATTAAATCTCTCTATCATACTATTAGTTTGAGGTCAGTATGCTGATGATTTAAAATGTTTTATTTGAAATTTGGTGCATAGTTCTTTAACAACATCACTTAGAAAGTTGGTTCCTCGGTCAGATTGTATAATCATGAGAGCTCTATGTCAACAAATTATTTCTTCATATATAAAATTGGCTACTGTAGTTGCTTTAATATCAGCAATTACTTTTGCTTCTGGCCATTTGGTAAGATAGTCCATAGCAACAATTATATATCTGTTGTCTTGTTTAGTTATTGGTAATGGTCCTTTAATATCAATCCCAATTCTAAAGAAAGGTCTTTTTACTTCTATAGGCCTTAAATCTTGTCTTCTAATTTCATGTTCTCTGCATTGGCATATATTATATGTTTGAATATAATTTTTAATATCTTCATACATGTTTGGCCAAAAATATCTTTCTTTTATTTTATTGTAAGTTGATCCAATACCAAGATGTACTCCTTGCTCATCATGTAGTGAATATAATATAGTATATTTTTGGTGATGTTTAATTACTCTAAGATGGTTGTTTTTATTTCAATGATATAATTTCTTTTCTATTATTAAATAATTATTTGCTTCTTTTTGTAAATAAGATTTTTCTATATTAGAGATGTCCATTGGGTATTTGAGGTGAGATAAATAGTTATAAAGATTTGTATACTGTGTTCATTCATTGTCAATATTTAGATATTCAGGTAAGCGTAAGAAGAAATTAGCATTTTTATTTCAGCTACCAGCACGATATTTAATATCATACTGATATTCTTATAAGGTTAATTGCCATTAAGTGATCCTTTTATTGTCATTAATCATAAATGAATTTAATAACCATTGTAGTGCCTTGTAATCAGTAATTAAGGTAAATCTCATCCTATATATATAGTGTCAAAAATATTTAATGGCCTGAATTACTGCTAAACATTCTAATTTAACAGTACTATAATTCTTTTTTGCAGGAGTTAATGTTCTGCTAGCATAGGCTATTATATGTTCTTTTCTATCTTTTACTTGTGATAATATGGCTTCAAGTCCTTGATAGGATGCATCAGTAAATATAATAAATGGTTCATTATAATCGGAGTATTGTAATATTGGGGCAGTAATTAAATATTGTTTTAGGTAATTAAATATTTTATTATGTTCTTCCGTCCAAATAAATTCTACATCCTTTTGTAATAATTTGTTTAAAGGCGCAGCCTTTTTAGTGAAGTTTTCTATAAATCGACGATAATAAGATGCCAGTCCTATAAATGCTCTTAATTGAGTAATGGTTTTCGGTGGAGGTAGTTTTTCAAATTTTTCAACCTTTTGAGGGTCAGGTTTTATTCTATTTATACCAACAATATATCTAAGAAATTGTATTTTATTAGTGCAAAAATGATATTTTTCAGAATTAATTCGTAAATTTGCATTTTTGATTAAAGAAAATATTGATTTTAAATGTTCAATATGTTCCTCAAATGTTTCTGAATATATATTTATATCATCAATGTAGACAATGGCATACTTCCAAAGTGCCGGTTCAAGTACAACATCCATTAATCTTTGGAAGGTTGAAGGTGCATTACAAAGTCCAAAGAGCATAACATTAAATTTATATAGACCGAACTTTGTAATAAATGTGATCTTTTCTTTATTCTCTTCTTTTACTTTGACTTGCTAGTATCTTGAGGTTAGATCAAGGGAAGTAAACCATTTTGCTTTTCCTAGATTGTCCAACATTTCATTGATACGTGGCAGAGGATAAGTATCTTTTTTAGTTATAGAATTTAATTTTTTATAATCTACACAGAACCTAAGCTTTCCATTTTTCTTTTTAACAAGAACTACTGGTGAACTCCAAGAACTTCTTGATTTTCGAATTATTTCTTCTTTTTCCATTTTAGCAATTTCTTCTTTTATGTGGTCTTGCTCCATATGAGATGCTTGATATACTCGTTGTTTAATAAGATACTCATTTGTTGTATGTATACTATGATAAACTATATTGGTTTGTTTTAATTCAGAGAATTGAGTAGCAAATATATCAGAATTTTCCTTCAAAAAATTTGATATAATATTTCGTTGTTCTTGATCTAGATTTGCTCCTATTAATGTAGTTTTATCTTTGATTATATTGATTTTATTAGATGGTGGTGGTTCATTTTTAGCTTCAATTTCGGGTTTAATTAAATTAAATAAGTTATCAACTTCTTTTGTTCTTTTATCTTCACTATTTTCAATCCTGATATTAGGCATTATTTTATCATCAACTTGTGAAAAGTATTTATTTGTTTTGATTTTTGTAGTAAAGTAGCGATCATTGTTTAGGTCTTCATCATCATCTTCTAGTTCCAATTCATATTCTTTATTGATTAATTGTTTATATTTAATTGGATATAACTGAGTAGGTTTTTCTATTCATTCTTAACATGTAATAGAGACATATTTAATATTGTCACCTTCACCTATCAATATTAGACCTGTTCTATAATCAATGATTATTTTTACTAGGTCCAAATATTCATTACCTAGAACTACATTATATTCTTGTGATTCAGTAACAATCATATCGATACTGATTTCATTGACTCCAATTTTGACAGAAACATCCTTAACTTTTCCTAAAGGGGTTGTTCTATTTTCAGTAATGTCAACAACTCGAACATTACTTGGTCCATCTATTAGTTTTCCTATTCAGTCCAAAAATTGTTTTGCAATCACACATCCTTTTGATCCAGTATCAATAAGGACATTGATTTCATGACCAAAGATATGAGCAGTAGAGAATAAAGCATCTTGTATAGCTTCTTTTTTTAATTCTTTTTGTTCTAAGCTGTGATTTAATCCTCTAATTTCAATTATTTCATCATTATTATTATCCTCCAACCAGATATTGTTGATATCATTTTCTTTGTCGAGATTATTAGTTCCAGTATTTATATTGTTTCTATTATTTATATTGTTATTATCAGTAATAAGACTATTATAATAATTCATGATTTCCATTTCTAGATTTTGTAATTGTTCTATTGGTGAGAGTTTTGAATTACCGACATGCTCACCCTTATGAGATGTCTTTTCTAGTTTAAAAAGTTCATCCTTTGATTGGCAAAATTATTATCATTATTATTTTGAGTATTGATATGATTTTTATAATAATTCAAAAAATTTTGCCTTTGATCATCAGTGTTGTTACTAGGTTGTTGATTGTTATTATTATTATTGTTTAGAGGATTTACTTGTTGATTGTTGTTAGATGATCTGAAATTATTATTATTATTGTAATTGGGAGGTCTTTTGTTGTTTTGGTTTTGATAATTGTTGTTAAAATTTCTATTTGGTTAATAATTATTATTGTTGTTATTTCTCCAGTTCTGGTTCATTTGACAATTTCTTGCCATATGATCTACTCTATTACAATTATTACAAATAGGAGCTCGACATTCATATGCAAAATGTCCAGGACGTTGACAACGGTGACAAGCATTATTGTTGTTATTGTTATTATTTCTAGGTCTGTTATTGTTTTGTTGCCAATTATTGTTGTTGTTTTGTCGATTATTTCTATTGTT